CAAATGAATACAGCAATATGGGCTTGCCCAATATGTCAATCTAGCATATTTCCAAAAATCAACTTCTGGATACTAGATGAGCATACACTGCCCTCTCATATAAAATTAATATTTGTCCTAATAACTGCCCATTCCAATACAAGGACCCACATCTATCAATAGAGCTTCACATATCAATCAACAAATCAATAGCCATTATATTATCTAAATCCAATGTTAAAAATATTAGACAGTTTCTTTGATACAAGTCTTCTGAAAAAAATACATGATCAGAATTTCATACTAAAATTGGTAGAATCTCACTAGGCAAAATTCCACTCTGGTTTGAGAGCTTCAAATCCAATATACCAAACCTAACTGGAGACACTCTCCCCTGCTTAAATCCACACCCCTTATTCTGAGCATTTCTCAACAATGACAAGTTTGAATTTATTAAGAAACGCAAAAATATCAAGAATACAGAAATCATAAAGGAAAGACACTATATCCTCAAAAACAATAACAATAACAATAATCCACACCAACTGACTCCTTGTGCTTGCCTGGTACAACCTTGTATTGTCTCAAAACCTACTTTCAATACCAAGTCAATCTGGCACATTATGCAAAACAATCTTTCTTACCTCTTAAATAACATTAATAAACTCAGACACATGTGTGCTTTACAAGCTCTTCAAAGCATCCCAATTATAAACATACCATCCCTTCCTTCACTCACATCTCCAAGTGCTAAAAAGATATTCTTGTATCAATATTCTAATACCATCGAAGTAGAAATTGACAATACCTCAACCCTTTATTCAAACCTTTCCCAAACACAAAATGAACTATAGATCATCCTAACAAATTTACTACAATCAATTCCTTTGGGTTCACATATCGAGTGCAATCTCTAAATTCTCTCAATTTCTCAACACTATTGTACTCAAACAGAAACATCAAACTCTCTTATAGTTACTATAGTAACTATTGTCAAAACTTCTTCAAATCAAAAAAATTTTCACTAATATTTAAAAAACACACCCACAACTAACACCACAACAAACCAAACCATGAAAAAGATATCTAAATTTTAAATAAACAATTATAATATATTACCACTTATCAATAACCAAGTTGAACCCAGCTGCACCCAGTGGTTCAAATTCATTAACTCATCAATTAACCTTATCATCATCACCACTAGTCAAAATTGTCTTCTCAAATCCATCAATATTCAAGATTTCATTCTACTCAAAGAAGCAAAGAAAAAATGCTGGCACACTAAAAAATATCAGTTCCGGTCATTATCTGCATTCAGAACCAAAATCCTTTTCAATATCCTCCCCACTAGAGCCAAACTTTACAGCAGATATCCTTCACTCTACCCATTACACAAATGCCTCCAATGCGACCACACAATTAAAAACCTAGAACATATTTTCAGTATATAGAGAACAGAGAACTACTTATCAAAAAACTTCCTAAATTTAACAATCTTCTTAAAAAAATTTTACAAAAACAAAGTTAAAAAAAGAAAAATCAATCTATATAAACAAATATCCATCATGTAACTATCACACCAGCAGATAGCAAAATACTATTAAATATTTTTTTAGAAATACCTAATCAAATCCTTAAACAAATTCAAGGTAACAAAGCAAAGGTTAAAATTATGAACAAGGTACTAAAAATTTTACACTGAACATGAAAAGAAAGATCTGCTACTGCCACTACAGCACTACTCACTGGCATCAAATAGAAACCTATAAAAGCAACTAGATCACCATCCGATAAACAATCACCAAACCAATACCACAAACTCTTTAGCACTATTCTAACAACTTCAAATAGATTTTTAAACTCTACTAGTTACTCTATCTTATCTCCAGCAGTAATAGCATCATTTTTGAATGAGTAATTGCCATTCGACCCTATTCTAGCATACCCAATCACAGACTGCTAGTGTGGCACAATAGGACAATCGCAATAGGTATTAGTTAATTTATTCTGGTATCACAACCTTGTAAAGACTATTCATGCAACTGTTTATGAATTAATTTTCTAATAAAAACTTGCATATATTGCTCATTTGCAAAAAAAAAAAAGTATTTAAAAATAAATTAATTTTAAATAAAATAAAATTTATAATATATTTATTTTAAATATTAAAATTAATTTAAATTCTTAAATAATTATAAAATAAAATATTTAGATTAATTAATATAAAAAGTTTAATAATTAATATTGTTTATTTATTTATAGTTTTTTAAAAATAATAAGTAAATTGATTTGTAGATAATAATATTAAAAGTTAAATAAGTTTTTATTTAAACTATTGATAATATAATAAATTATTATTAAAATTATATTTAACAATAATAATCAAGACAAATAAGTTAATTAAAAATATAGATTTAATATTATATTATATATATTGTATATACTATATATAATTAAAAATATTTAATAAATTATATATAATTAATCTAATAAAGGATCAAGTAAATAATTAATTAAACTAATGAAAGCAAAATATTATTTTTTAGGTTGTATTTAGAGAATGAAATTTTAATAATAGGAAAGTTGATATATGAAAATTATTTAATTTATAATTATTTCTATTAACTCACAATAAAGATAAGCTATGTTGGCCTAATAGTGAGTTAAAAAAAATAAAAATAAAAATAATTAATTAATTAAACAAATAAATCTTATTAATTAGTATATAAATATAATAGAATAAAATAAAAATTTTATTAATTTGCTTATTTAATTAAAATTAAATTTTATTAATAAAATATATAGTAATAAAAATTAATTGTTTATTAATTTATAATAGTTATTAATTAAGAACACTCTTTCCGCTAATCCTTTGACCATATACAAAAAAGATACTTGCAAGAAGTTTTAATACTTCTATACTAATAAAGTCTTAATACTCTCCTTAATCCAACCTGATTGGAATCTTCAGAAATTACCCATACCTCCATTCCTCTTGTTTACAATTATCTTTGAGCAAATTGAACTCTTATGGCCTATAAAGTTCAGCTCACACCCTTACTACTGATAGCAAGAAAGTTACTAAAGGAAGAAGAACTACCAGTATAGTACCTGGCACCACTCTTTTGAAGTGAAGAAACAAGACAAGATATGATAGAAGTTTTATGCCAGTCAAGGACTCATATTTTCCTCTTGACTTGATCTTCTGATCCTAAGAGCTCCTATTTCATAGCTTTCTAGGAAAATTTGCTTATCTCATTTTGATCCTAAATTCTAGGGTAGCACAAATCCCACTAATTATAATTGATTGATATAAAACACGTTGGATCAAATTGATAAACAAGCTCCCATTGGCCACCTCACGTATCTGAATGTATTTCTTTAGCTCCATAAGAACCTGGGATCTACTATAAGTTATATAGCTTCCATGCAGATAGATACAGGATACAGTCATCTCCTACATCACAGAAGAAAGGAAAGAGAGAGAAAGAACAGGCTCTTAGACAAGAGGATTCGTACATCAATAAAAGTAACCTGACATGCCCATAACAAGACAAATTTAGCATGGTGCAACGCTGAAGAAAAATTACAAGCCACCAAGAAAGCATGACACCCTGGACATAAAACCGAGCTCCAAACAAAAATCAAGCATGACCAAGAGATACAACATGCTATCCAAAATGAAGGATCATAAACTGATGACTTATATCAAGTCTCTCAATATGACTCCTCCTCTAACATGGCTATTTAGGCTGCTAGTGGTACCCACCAATCTTATTCTTAGTAAAAGTATGAGTTGAAAACTTCTGCCATATTGAAAAACTCCATAGAGATTAAACTAACTTTGTAAGAGTTGTGCCTTTTTAAATAAGCAGCTTATACTTAAAGCTGACATTATCTCTAGGACTAGGACATCAATCCACCATAGTTTTAAGGTCCCTCCTAGCCATAGGTTCCACCTGATCTTTGGATGAGTAATTCATTAGGCAGAGTACCAGATAAGATAACATCAATAATGCTGGCATCTGAAACCATACCCCTTCCCAGCTGGAAGAAAAATACTTCCCCCTCCCTTTCAAAGATGAAAAGACACAGCACTTAGGTGAATAATTTGTAGGTGTTGGATTTCCTTGGAATTAGTCTCAGTGGATGGTCAGTAGTAGAAGAAACTTTGGTCCTTGTGCAAAAGTACCCATTTCATTTCTTTTATTATTTCTTGCACTAGCCAAAAGGTAATCTTAGACTAGTTCTCCCCCCCTTTGTGGAGCAGCAAAAAGCAATCCGGTAAACTGTTTGGTTTTAGGTAGTTTATTAGCCCTTATAATATCTATGATACTTTCAATGTAATTTTGAATTTGTCTTTATTAATGCTAATAAATATGCTGCGCTGGCATTTTAAAAATAATAATAATAATAATGATAATAGTTATTAATTAATATGGAGATTAAATTATAGAGCAGCAGTTATTTTTAGTATTTATTTTTTAGTCTGTTAAAGATATATAAAAAATATTTAGCATTATTGATATTAAATATTTTAAATGAAATCCTAGTATATTAGTTTAATTTTAATTATTATAATTATTATAACAAACTATCCGGTAATATGTTTTGTTTTGTAATTATATCTAGGAAATGTTTTGGTCTTTGTTGAATTCTTTAAAAAACCTCTAGAATTTGTTATTTAAAAAAAGTTTATATTAAACAATTATATAGTTTAAAATCATTGGATTGTTATGCGCAGCTGTACGTTTGAGGCACGGCAGTTCCTGCAACACGCAAAATTGATACAACTCCGATATCCGACCTCTAAAACGCCGAATGACAAGAAACTTGATATGGAGTACATTTATCCGAATTTAGAAAAACCGTATGAAAAATGGAATTAATTGTCGAGATACATCGTTTGTGCGCATGTACGCACGTAGTACATTAGTATATAGTGACCGGATCGAAGTGCATATAAATAAACGAACAATTCAAACTGTGTTACGTTTAATAAACTATTACTATTAGGTATGGATGGGGGAAAAGAGAACGAAATTCACTTAGCTGGTGAATATGAAAAACCGAGCACGGCTTCGTCGATAGGAAGTCACGCATACGAATCTGTACAGATAGTTGGAAATATCGTTCAGCCATTTATTCCATTTTTTAGCACCGTTACAAGAATTGTTGATGATTTGGTGGCTATATATGAGAATGCAAAGTGTAATCATAAAATCTGTGCGGCCTTAATAGATCGTGTAGAAATTGCTCAACAAGCAGTTAAATCATTACAACGTAAAAAACAAGAGAATGAAAAAAATTTTTGTAATCAGGATTATTACGATGCATGGGTTAGATTTTGCTATGTGTTAGAGAATATTAGAAAATTCGCTAAAGAAGTGACACAACAATCGATTTTTCAAAAGTATGTTACTGCCACGTCAATCAAACAGGCCTTTGAAAAAAATATTAAAGAATTTGAAGAAGTCTGTAGGGATTTGCACTTTTCGCTAGCAATTTACTCCATTGAACAAAGGGAGCAAGAGGAAAGAGCAATTAAGGAGGATATCGATATGATAGGCCAGGTTTGTATTTCATATTTAGTATCATTTAAAGATTAACTCTCGAAAATTATGAGTATAATAAACCTCTCGATTTCATGGAAATAGGCAATGGGTGAACTTAAAAACGACATGAAAAGCGTTATCAAAGAACTAAGCATTTTATCATCTAATGTGGAGCAATTATCAACACAAATAAGAAAATCAAGGACTGGTATCGATGTTGGTTCTGCAAATTCTGCGATCGACTCTGCAGTCGACATGTATCAGGTTCAACGCATCGAATATTCTGACCTTAAAGATCCTGAAGATACGAAGGATATTGTGAGGGGTGATCATAAAAAGATTGTTAAAAAAAGTTGGCGTGGTCTAGAAGTTGCTTGCAAAAGGATTCATTCTATTGAAAAGAATGATACTCCATTATACCAGAAAACTCGTACCGAATTGGCTATACTCACCTTATTAGGGCAATGCAATTATATCATTTATTTCCATGGTCTTTCTAGGGTAGACAGTCAAGATGTCATGGTTTTTGAATGGGCGAAAGAAGGAAATTTGAAATATTTTTATGAGAACTTTTTCCTTGATTCGAAGATGCAATTAAAGCTCGCTCGTGACATATTCAGCGGCCTTTATTTTATACATAACAGCAACATTCTTCATCATGACGTTCGTTGTGAAAATATCTTGGTATGTTAAACAATCACGATATATATATATATATTCTATATATATTGTCCACAAAATTACCGTTTAAAATATTTTATATCTAATGATTTTACAGATTACCGAAGACAAAGTGGCCAAGATTACTAATTTTGAACTGGCTCGCAACGTGGAAGAAGCGTCTAGGCCCGTCAGAAATTTAAGTACTTACGTTCGTTGGTTGGCTCCTGAAAAAATGAACGGAAATCGTTACACTCATCAATGTGAAATGTTTAGGTATTTAATCATTGATATATCTATGCTTGTATAGCGATATATGCTTATCTTTTCAGTATTGCGATAGTTTCGGAATGCTTCTATGGGAGCTTTGCAATGGAAAAATCCCATATAAGGATATGGATCCATTAAAAGTGCAGGAACATGTTAAAGCAAAGAAAAGAGAGACTTTATTTCTATCTACAGATCAAATCCAGAAAGGGCTTTCGGAAATTATTAAGCAAGGTAGCGAAATATAACAATGCTATATGCTGGTTTAAAATACATATGATAATAACATGATATTATTTCATAAGCCTGGGAAGACGAACCTTTTGCACGTCCATCAGATTTATTTGTCCACCATAAACTTAAGGAATTATATGAAAAACATGTACCCACGGGCACTTCGCCACAAGTCCTTTGCAAAAAACACCCAAATGAAGAATTTTCGAGCCTTAGTTTGGGTACACCGGATATGCCTGATGTCAACGACTGTTTGATTGAAAATATAAACATACCTTTAATAAATACTTTAAAACCATTTGAAGAAGGAGTTCGAGCCCACATAGAAAAGAACTATAAAGCTGCTTGGGAGTGTTTTGACGGACACGCAAGATTAGGTCACAGATTTGCAAAATATTGGAAGGGATATTATCTGATGTCAGGATATTATGTCCAAAAAGACTTAAAAGAAGCCTTAGAATATTTCAGAATGTCCGCAGATGAAGGTGTTCCTGATGCACAACTTCGATATGCGTTCTTACTACTTGAACAGGAGGAAAATTGTGAAGTAGATAAAGTGCTGGACTACATGCAACGAGCAGCCGAAGCAGGAAATGCAACTGCCTTATATAATCTAGGTGACATTTATTTGAATGGGAAGTTAGGGAGACAAAAAGACGAAGCAAAAGCATCCGCATTTATTAGATTAGCTGCATTGCAGAATCATCCAAAAGCAAAAGAGGCCTTAGCTAAGTTAAAATAGTGCAACGCCCTCTTAATTGACCAATGGGAAGTTTTGCATAATTATTATTATGCATTTTCCGTATACTATAGTTAATATTTTAAATGATAAACTGTTATTACTTCAAGTTGTTGATGTGGTTTTCTAACAAGCTATAAAAATATTTTGTTATTATGGATATTATTGTTTTTAAACTAATAAATTCGCATTATTTATAAGTGACAAATTTTTTGTTAATACGAAAGTCGATAGCGATTTCAATTATTAATGCAGTTGTTTAAAGTATTAATTTGATATTTCAAGAATTATTAAATTATGTTGTAACGGAATAATGGCTCCAAAACCCTAAACGTACTAAATATTTTATTTATTAAGCAGTACAAAACCTTATTACCATATATAATAATTTTCAGGAAATAATTTTGCATTGTTTTTTATCTAAAGGCGTATCTTATGTTTGAATCTTGATAAAATCGTATTAAAATATTAGCATTAATTTTAATTCAAATATTTAATAAAACTTTTTTAAAATATAAAAATCTCATATCACCCTTGTTTAAATATAAACTTTTTTATAACAAAACCTTTGACTTATTTTAACACATTTAAAATAATCGTAAAATTATGGTTAATAATTTTTTTGCTATTTAATTAGCTTTTGAATTGTCCTGGTTGAAGCTTTTAACCTCCTTTCTATAAGGGCTTCTGTAGTTGATTGAGGGTCCAGATTTATGCTAGACATGTATGTGTTTGGGGCCTGTACAGTATATTGGTTTCTCTTATTGCAAGTTCAATTCCTTGGGGGGATGATTGTAATCTGTTGAGTGAAGGTTGCTTAGGGTCTGTTTCTTGTTGTCCTGAAAAAATTTTGGTTGTGCTCTTTTTGACCTTGATGTTTACTGGGCATGTCAAAAGCTGCTCTATTATGCATTGCTGTTGGTTCTTATGGTTCTTTCTGAGTTCTTGATTATTGAGTGAGCAGTCTTTGCATTTGAATATTAGAGATGTCTCCTCATTCCTGATCATGTAATTTACAACTACCCTTTGATTGTCTAGTTGCTTTCTCTTTTTTGTTATTATCATTTCTCCATTCTTTTTTGTTGCTAGCCATTTGATGATTGATTGGTGTTGAACTAGAAGGATAGGAGTGACTTACTAGAATCTGTTGATAGAGGAGCTGCTGTTATCCCTGTATCTTGTGATTGATAGTTTATTCTCATTTACTATTAACTCTGGCTGTATTTGGATTATTAGTTCTTTCAGATCTTTGTACCAAATAGGGATCCTACTTTGTTTTTCAAACTTTATCCTTATTTGTTGCCATATTAAGATTCTTGTTTGGCTATCATTCAGGAGCTGTTCTCTGAACATTATACTTCTATCTTTGAAGACAGCTCTATTCTTATTGTATCATTCCTCTGTGACTATTTCTTGGATTGCCTTATCCTCATTTTTGACTGGTTTTTCAAATCAAGTGTATTCTATTGATACCATTGTAATTCCCTGTAATTTGAGCATATTCAATATATCATTTGTAAAATTATTCCTTCTCCTAGTCCAGAAGGTGAGCTTATCCATCAGTATTAATATTTATGATCAGTAGTTGTTTTGAAGTTGTTGGAGTTTGATTTGTATAGTAATAACCACTAAGCTATAACTGTTTAGTCTATTGGTTAGGTTTTTTTCATGCATAAGGATTTGTCTATCCCATAGGTTGAACAGTTTGTAGCCAAAGTCAGTATGCAGAATATAGTTTGGGATTGTTAAGGATAAGCCAACCTTATACTTGAAAGTTTTGTTTATTTTGCAGTTTTCTTATCACATTCTTTTTCTGATAGGACAAGGTTATTAAAAAGATATTCAATTGCTGAAAAAAGGGCCTGATTTATAATATATCATATTTGCTTGTTGGTGATTTTCTTCTAGGCAAGTGTTCTGATTGTGATATCTACTTTATCTCTAATATTGTTTTTTTGTCAGGTTTTTTTGTCATTTTCTATTATCTATACCACAGTATTCTTGTTGCTTTATTTTGTTTCAGAGATAGAATTTGTGTTCCATTGAGCTGTATACTTGCTTCTTTTTGTTCTTGGAACACATTTATGCAGATTAGCAATGATTTCTTGCTATTGACTTATATATTATTTATCCTTAGGAATTTTGAGGCTTTGTCTATTATTGTTTACATATTTGATCTGCTATTTATGAACCATATAGTGTTATCCATATATGTTGTAACTGTGATATTTGTTTGTATTGTTTTTTTATTAGCTATTTTCTGTTGACTTGGTGATGTCAAATCTAGTAAAACTTCTGTTTTCATTGTGAATCTGATATATTCGTCTTGGATTTCTTGCAGCAATGAGTCATAATATACTTTCCAGAGAAAGTAAGAGATATTGTCTCCTTGATCTCTTCCTTCATGCACCTGGTATTCTTCTATTAGACCATGTGTTATGATTACTCTGTTGTTTCTATTTTTTAGTATGTTGTTTAGTATCTTAATTATCTTTTCTAGTATTCGAATTCTTCTGAGAGCCAGGGCTAATATGTCTGTATTCATTGAGTCATATACCTTGCTTATGTCTTGACTAAAGAAAGATCCAGGACTCTTTTTTGAATTTTCTGACCTCCTCCATGACATTGTTGAGGATGTGAATCAGTTCCTGCGTACTTCTTCCTGATAGGCCTGCCCAATTGTTGATGCATAATATCTTGTATTTGGTATATGTGGCTGCAGGTCTTGCATTTAGGGTGCTCATAAATATCTTTCTTGTTGTTTCAAGTAGTGTAATAGGATAGGTGTAAAGATGGGTCCCTAAAGGGGGGGGCAGAGACATAAGTCAAATGTTCTTCACTAATAAATATTAAAATTTTTAAATTAATAACTATAAAAAAACTACCCGCAATTGTTCTCATTATTTAAATTATTGATTTATAGCATTTTCTGACTTTTGTCCCTATTAAAGTAAAAAGCTATGAATTTTGTTCATCAAAAAAGGATATAAGTGATCTGCAAAATTTTATATACTAAATACTTTGGGACCTATCATTAGATGTGTGATGTTGATATTTCCTATTAAATCCTCGGACTTGAGTATTGAATATATATTTCTTTTTTTCCAATCTTCTGGAACCTTGCTTGTTTTTAAAATTTCATTAAAAAGCCTTTCCAGAAGCATTATATCTTTCTTTACTAAGTTTTTGAGAAATATGTATGGAATTTCTGAAAGATCGAGAGCATTGCATTTTTTGTTCCTTGAAGTATATTCCTTATTTCTATTGTGCCTATTGGGAACAGTACATTATTGAACCAGCTCTCCTGATCATTTATTTGGGGTTGTACTATTTTATCCAGTATGAAAGATCCTTTATATTAAGTATATGTCTGGGTCTTATTCATTTCTAAAAGTGTTTCCTTATTTTGTCTTTGATTATTATTGGGTATATGATTATTCTGGTGTTTTTTGCTCTATGAGTCTTTGTGTATTGATGAACCTAGGATGCTGTTTCAATATATTGTTAATCATTTTCTTTGGATATTCTTCTAGGTTTTTGTATCTTTTTTCTATGTGTTTTGAATTATCCTCCCCCTTTTTTTTTTGATTATAAACTTTGCTATCTTGGTTTCTATTTCCCAGATCTCCTTTGTCTCTATTGGCCATTTGTGGAGACCTTTTTTGTTACCTGTCATATTTCTCTAGAAGAGTGGAGGTTTTGTCAGTATTGTATATGATATATTTATTTCCTTCATCAAGTCCATGATTTGTGCTTCTGTAGTAGATGTATGCATGTTCAGATTCATTAGTTATACTGCATATTTTCTGTGAAAGCTATCAATATTGAGCGATCTTTCTATGAATTTCTTGTACTTAGATTTATGTATTGTTCTAGTGTTCTATTTCTTGTGTTTCTTTCTTAAGGAGGTTTTTGCCACTGTTTTTATTGATTCTTTAAATTGTTTCCATACGTCTTCCATTGTTTTATGGCTGTCTTCAAGGAAGCTCTTCGAACTTTCCTCCATTTTCTTTGTGAAATTTGCCCATTGTTTTTGACTTGAATTCGTATAGTCGATAATGTTTTATTTATAATTTTTTCTATTTGATAGTTTACTCCATGAGATATGTGACTACTATCTTATGGTCATTTCTGATTACTGTTTTTACTTCTATATGGTTGATATTGAGGATGTATGGCTGTAGTGGATTGGATACCCATATGTAGTCAAGTCTACTGCCATAGTTTGATTTGTATCTGTTATATGTGTAGCTTGTTTTGAAGAGATGAACCTATCTATATGTATCTATCATATTAAATGCCACTAGTATATTGATAATGTGTCAAGGTTTATTTCCTCTAATTTTTCCTGATGTACAGTTCTTTTGGTAATCAGTTACTTCGTTGAGATCTCCTATTACTATAATTTACATGTTGGTGCTTTTTACTTTACTAATCTTTGCTTTGCACTACTGTAGCAATTTGTTTCTGTCTTGCCTGTTTAATGTGTCTGATGTGTTGTATATAGTTAAGATCCTATAATAAACACATCCTTTGAGTATCATATTTACCGCAATACCTCAGTTAATACATTCCTCAAACTTGAAGATGTATATGCCTATTTTTTCTTGATTAGTATGCTTACTTCTATTCTATATATCTGTTATGTTGATATTATTGACCATATATGATACTTTTCTTCTTCATCATACTATTTTTAATTTCCTGACAGCCAGATTTCTATGATTCCCAATATATCTATTTGTTGTTCCTGGCTGTATTCTAGTATTGCTAGCTTGTCTACTTCAGTATTGATTCTTCTTATGTTTAAAGTTCCTATTTTTCAAATTTTAGTGACTCATTAGTTTTACATATTTCTTTGATTTGCCTGTTATAGGCTCTATTCTCTAAGGATTTTTTAATCATAGTTGTTTAGGAGGAAGGAGGGAATCAGTTCAGTATAATCTATTTCATTGATGGGTATGTCCAGGCAGTCTATCATCTCCTTCATAGCTGATGCCATCATAGATTCTATTTGGTTAATTCTCTTATTTATCATTTCTTGTTGTTATCTAATATCCATTCTTTTTGGTGATGGAGTTCTGAAACTTGAGCTTCCTGAAGATGGCTCATTTTGTGTAAGAGAGTTGATAATAGCTGATCCTTTGACTTTAACATAGGGATCTGCTTCGATAGCTGAGACTCTTTTGTACAACATGTGTACCTAATATTTGATAACTCGTATATTAGCTTGTAATTGTTTAAGAATTTCTAGTATTTTGTCTATATCTATTGCTGGGTAAGTTTCCCTTATTATACTGGCATAAGTATATTCCATGGTAAGGAATCTAGCTATTGGCCTTTTATCCTAGTAGATAGAGTAAATTCTCTTCTATTGCTAGTTGTTAATCTTGATTGTTCAAATCTGTTAATTCATTCTTTTTGTGTTGTGCTCTATTTTGCTATTGTGCATTGGTTGTAGTCATGATCATAGGCTCCGCAACTGAAGCATAACTTAGTTTTTCTTGTCACCTACATTAGATCTGTGTCTTGAAGTAGGGGATTTATTCTTTTCACTCTGTTCAGGTCCTGCTCATTCTTATAATAGAGAATAACAAACCTTTTGTTTTATTTCATTTGGTTTAAAGGGAGATATATGGCTTTAGCCTCTGTTTGTTCAATGATTCTTTTGAGTTCTTTTATAGAGATTCCCTATAGGAGATTTGTCAGTGTTGCACTGTACTAGTTCCTCTTTTCTCTTATAATGTGGGTTCTAACTAGAGAGAATATCCTCATATAGATGGTATTCATGATAAATTCAATTTATATTCTGTTCTAAAAAAGATTATGATATTTTTTTTTGAAAGTGATTGAGGATGTCTCAAACTCTGATAGAATGGTTATTGCCTTCAGTGGTATCAATTTCAGATACTAATCTAAAATTGGAAATTTCATTGTCAATAATCTGGATCTCACATGCAGTGATGACCTCATGGTAGCTATCAAAAATAGCTGCAATTGTTGGCGATTCAATTGGTTCCTCTGTGCAAATATGTTTCAGAGTTTTTAGATATTCCAATTTATTGCAAATTTATTTAAGTTTTTCTTCAGTTGAGATGCCCGATATTGCTTCCAGTTCGATAAACATCTTGTTTAGACAAAGTATGTTGTGGTTTTCTTGGATATTGATTTGTTTTATTTCTTTTGTCATCTTCTCTAGGTTATTGTCATAGCTAAATTTGTTTAGGGTAATATCATTATGGTTTCTTGGCTTCTCTTCTCCCCCTCTTGTTACTAATGATGTTTAAGTTACTATTATTGGTGAGATTGATCTGATTTTAATGTTTGTGTCCTCTGTTTGTAGTATAGTAACTGAAATATCTATCTCTTGTTCTGGGTTTTTGTTTTGTTTTGAGATTTCTGGCTCCATGATTTTTGGATTCTGTGTACTGACCTGGGATTCTCTGGTATCTCCTTTGCTTCCTCTCTTCCAGTTGTTATACAGTTTTTTTTTGTATGAGTTAGAGGATTGAATTTGTTTACAAGTTTGATTTTCAAGATTGGCTTGATGATTTTGCCACTACCTGTAATAATCCTTTCTCCTTTATAGTTAACTATTGGATCTTTTGCCCTAGTTGACTTTTTTAATATGTTGGTTAGAGGAGCTCGTTGTGAGCATTTTGTTATTTTTTCAATGTTTTGGGTTGTTATCATAAAAGGAAATTTTCAAAAATTTGATGCGAGTGGAAAAGAGTTTTTTTTTTGAAAAAGTAATAAATAATTTAGTTAATTGATTTTTTAATTTTTAATAAATTTTGTGAAATTTGTTAAACTTTCTAAATATTTATTGATTATAATATTGGTTTTATAATTTTTGTTGAATTTTTTGTCAGTTGAATTTTTTACTACAATATCAATTTTTTTATTAAATTTTTTGTTACAATAATTTTTTTGGTGAATTTTTTACTATAGTTAAAGATAAGTTCCTAAAGGGGGAGGCAGGGACAAAAATAAAATGTCTCTTACTAGAAAACATTAAAATTTTTAAATTAATAATAATAATAAAACTACCCACAATTGTTTTCCATTATTAAAATTATTGATTGATTTATAGTATTTCCTAATTTTTACCTTTATTAAAGTAAAAAGCTATGAATTTTGTCCCTCAAAAAGTGACATAAGTAATCTGTACAATTTTATATGTTAAATATTTTAGAGACCCATCATTAGCCACAGTATCAATTTTTTTGTCAAATATTTTGTCATAATATTTATTTTTTTGTTAAAATTTTTACTATAGTATACAAAAAAAATTTTTTTTACCATGTATGCAAATTTTTTTTGTTACATTATTGTGAATTCTATACTGAATTTTTTTGTCACAATATGTAGAAATTTTTTTGTCACAGTATGTTATGTTGAAATTTTTTACTAATTTTTTGCTGATATTTTTAATACTGAGTGACAGCAATTGAAAATGATTTATTAATGTTTTTATTATTACATTTTATCAAATTTAGCAATAATTCAGTTGTCAAATGATATAATTTAGACTAGTATATTATTTACCCAGATCTATTATTCTGTTTAATACTTTTTTTTTTAGTATTAATTTTATATTTATCTGTATAATGTAGCAATAGCTTATAATAAACTTTAGATTTTTTTATAATCTTTTGGTCATATTATATAACTCCTAATATTTTCTAAAGTCATGACTAGTTAAAAATTTTTTATTGATAAGTATTTTTATTGTTTAAAAAATTAGATTTTTAACAATTTTTTACCTTGCAATAGTGAAAGGGTCTTGACAGATAGTAAGAATTCTTATAGATTACAATATCATTATATAATATTTCAAAAAATATACTTTAAATTCTAGAAAAAAGTAATAATTTACAATTTTTTGCTTTTTAGTTTTACTACCTAACTGAAACAAGGAAATAATTTTTTTAATATATTTTATTTGATCAATACAATAAGAAATTAAAGGCCTTAACTTGAATAAATAATTACATTTTTACTATTTAGATAATTTAATACCCATTTAAATAGTCTCATAGTTTTTTCATTTTGATTATACTTTATTTGAAGAAGTAAAGAAATTAACACTAGTAATTTTTCTTATTTCATCAATGACATTATCAAAATATATAATATTATCAATAGAAGCTTGTTTATATTTTGCTACCAATATGTTACATATTAGTCAATTAAATGAAGTAAAATTGTACTATTAAAAATTTAGAATCAAGTTAAAATAGGTAAAACTTTTTTAAAAAATTATAAAAAACATCATGTATTCTAAGAGAACTAAAAATATTATATGAAAAAGTAAATAATAAGTCTTTTTCTACTTTAATAACATTTATTTTTTGTTACTTTCAACTTTGAAAGGTGATACTTTATAAGTTGATCCTTTTGATTTATAGAACCTTCTTGTCTTTAGTAGTAAAAGTATATATTTGAGTCAATTTAGGCTATCAAAAATTCAAGTTTTTGTTCCAAAGGAGTTTGTAAACAAGTAAGGTAGGATAGTAATAATTCTTGAAGACAAGCTTCAAGTTGTTTTAAGGAAGGTGCGAAGATTTTATTAGTCAATAAGTATAAAAAATTCTTGCAAATATATTTTTTTGTGTTTTGTCAGAGAATTAGTGAAAAATTGGGTGAATTATTTTAATATATGCAAACACAAAAAATATAATAAATAAATTTGTATATTAGTTGAAAGAATTTTTTAATAATTGGGTTTTTTGAATTGTACAAAGTCAGAAAATATTTTAATCAGACAAGTTTCCTTCAAGAAATATTATTAAATTAATTAGAAAATTTTAAGAGTTTTAAATCATTTTTTCTATTCCTTTTTCCCAATATTTTTTTTTTATTTATAATTCATTATTTTGAAAATAATTTATAATAAAAAACTATTGGCAAGAATTAAGATAAAATAGAGATAAAGATTAATTTATCGGGGAAGTGATATGTTGTTTTTAATTAATTTTAAATTAGCTAAGACATTTATTTAGTTTAGTGTAAACTAGCTTAATAAATTTCTTATATTTTAAGTACGTAGTATGGTACATTAATTAATTAACAATATGCAATGCCATTATATAAAAATCAATAAATACATAATAACTACAATGGAAAAAAAATTTTTTTTTACTTATTAAATGATTATTGCGTTATTTGAGGATTTATAGAAGACAAGTAAATTGAAACATCCCGACCGACAGTACACGGGAAACGATTTATTAATTAAATCTTAACCTCGCACGTAAAATTATTTTCGAGTTTAAATTTCAAACAATATGGTTTTTTAACCGATTTCAGAAACTGTAAATCGATAAGATACCAATATTTCTTTGAGGTTTCGAAAATTTACAAACTAATAAAAACATTATTATTATCGTCAAGGGTTGACAAACTCAAATTAAGTACAAATCGTATGTTCAATTCGCGAACCCGAAAAAAATTTTAATTTACTTTCTTAATTTTCACAATAAGACCTTGTTCATTGTATAAATTGATTCGAGCAGTACGTAATTACAGTATATTGATTCTCAAAAAATAAGCATCTGTTTTAATTTTATTTTCTATGTAATATGAAACCGAACCCAATTAATAAACCAATAATCGTGATGAATTATCATATAATAATTTAATTATCTCTGGTTAAGCGAATTTATCAGAACTGTTGTGGGATTACCTATATAAACTGACTTGATATCAATTGATCACACTCTTTTTTCCGATCAAGTCGATAATTATCTATCAATCGATCCATAGCACTGTCAGAGTGATACGTGTTCTTTCATGGATAATGACTAGTGCTTTACCTGCTGAATCTCCTAGGTCATTTTTGCGTAAATTCAATAGTACGTATTCATACATGGAACCTCGGCGAGTGCTTTTCCTGCCGAATTTCTCATCTTGTTCTCACCAACAGATTACTGCATAAACATCGGCAAGAGCTTTTCATGCGAATTTCATCTCATTTTCGACTTTCGTTTAATTCGGCCAGTGCTTTTCCTGCCGAATATCCTATCTCATTCTGACTTATATTTAATTTGGTTAGAGTAGTATTCTTGCGTAGAGCCTCGATTAGTGATTTTCCTGCTGAATCTCCTATATTATTATCCAATAAGTTCAAATAAGTTAAGGTGGTGTTCTTACATAGAGCTTTGGCAAATGCTTCTCCTGCCGAATCTTGGAGGTTGTTATCACATAAATTTAAATTAGTTAGAGTGTTATTCTTGCATAGAGCATCGGCTAGTTCTTTTCCTGCCGAATCTCCTATCTTCGTTTCCACCAATATTCAAATTAACCAGAGTGGAATTCTTGCATAGGGCCTCGGCTAGTGTTTTTCCTGCCGAATATCCTATCTTATTACTACTAATATTCAAATTGGTCAAGGTGGAATTCTTACATAGAGCCTCGGCCAGTGCTTTTCCCGCCGAATCTCCTATCTCGTTAGAATCAACGTCCAATACGATCAGAGTGGTATTTACGCGTAGTGCATCGGCTAATACTTTTCCTGTAGAATCACCTATCTCATTATTACCAATATTTAAATTAATCAGTGTGGAATTTTTGCATAGTGCCTCGGCAAGTGTTTTTCCAACCGAATCCCCTATCTCGTTAGAACCAACGTCCAATACGGTCAGAGTGGTATTCTTGCATAGAGCCTCGGCCAATGCTTTTCCCGTCGAATCTCCAATTTTATTCCAACTTATATTTAATTTAGCCAGGGTGGTATTCTTTCTCAGAGCCTCGGCCAATTTTTTTCCTGCCGAATCCCCTATCTTATTCCAACTTATATTTAATTCGGTTAGGGTGGTATTTTTGCAAAGAGCTTCGGCTAGTGCTTCTCCTGTTGTATTTCCCGTATCGTTTCCACTGATGTTCAAATTAGTTAGGGAGGAATTATTGCATAGAGCTTCGGCCAGTGATTTTCCCGTCGAATCACCTATCTCGTTAGAATCAATATCTAATACAGTTATGGCCGTGTTCTCGCATAAAACTTTGGCCAGCACTTTTCCTGCAGAATCACCTATACAGTTATTACTAAGATTTAAAAATTTTGCGCTACAATTTTCACTGAGAGCCTCAACAAATGTTCTTCCTGTAGAATCACCTATTTTGTTATAACTAACGTCCAAACTGGTTAGCGCGGTATTCTTGCGTAAACATGCGGCCAAATTTATTACGGCTGCCTCATCAAGTTTTTTTCCTTTTAGATCCCACATCGATGCGCTGTCTTGATCTATTTGTGTGTGTTCAGGATTTAAAAGAATAACTTCCCAAAGTTCTAACGCCTTTGAATAATCTCCTTTCATAAAATATGACGAGGCTTGATTTCGTTGATACTGAAGGGTGAGTGCTGAAATAATATTCTATTAGCGACTCTAGTTTATTATTCTAACATATCTCAAGTTCGCTTAAATTACCTACAATTATTTAACGTAATATCATCAAAATCTCAGATTTAATCATAATTAAAGGAATAATAAGCTTCCATATTAAAAATTAGCAAATTGATCAAACCTGTTTCGCCATTTTCGTCGCTTGATGGCGCTTCATCATCGTCGTCGTGTTTGGTTGAATTGTCAGATGAGCTTTCATCCGAGGGGTTGGTTGGATTATCAGATGAGCTTTCATCCGAACTTTCATCAGGGGGATTGGTTGGAATATCAGGCTGATATACAGGTTTCAATTTAATCTTTTCAATGTCATCTAGGACATCATCGATTGTAGGACGCCATTTCGGATCACTCTTCCAAGCTGTAGAATAAATATCCACATAATCCAACGGGGTTCCATATATTGGAGTTTCTCTTTCCTCCTTTATAAGAATGTCCATGATGCTTCTGGGTTTTGGAATCTTTCCGCTTGAAATTTCCCAGAAGAGAACTCCTAAGCTATAAATGTCCGAAGATTTATCTCTTTTATAAAATTGATCATCTAGGAATTTTGGGTCGCAATAAGCTATTGGTGTGCGCCCAGCAATAGACGTTCCAAATTCTTTGTACTTTGATAGGCCAAAGTCAGCGATCATTAACCTATTGTTATTTATCAATACATTTTTGGAATGCTAAAAAAAAATTAGTTGGAATCTTTGATTTGCTTATCCATATATTTTACTTGCTAGGTCTCGATGGACAATATTCGCGGCATGTATGCAATACAAACCGCTGGCAATATCCTTCGCCATTTGAATTTTCCTTGGCCATTCAAGTTCCGAAAATTTATTATTTCTGTGCAGATTGGATAAATAATCTCGGAGATTTCCCCCATCTGCGTATTGAAAAATCAAAAAATATGTTTCTGTTTCTGGATCTAACGGCATAAAGAAATGAGCGTGGTGGATGGTAACTGTGAGTTGCTAATTTAATATTATTAAGTATTTACTCTGACTAACTCCCAGAAATTCTATAACATTGTCGCTACGAACAGCACCGATATTCCTCAGCTATTTATTGGTTTAAATGGCAATCGTTTTATCAGAAATTTCGTATTTACATATGACAAAAAAAATATACAACTTTACCTCGTTCACGAATACTTTATAAAAATCCAAATCTTGTTTAATATCTTCATGTAAGCTTTTTAAGACCACAAATTTTCTAATATGCTTCAAGTATGCTTTTTCGGTCTTGCCAAAGCTTCCTCTTGCAATAAATTCAAACCGATCGAACGAACTGTAATCAAACGATCTAATAATGCGACTTTTAATTGAATGACATTTCCAATATGAATGATATACTACTGTATAGAAAGTATGCATTCTAACATTTTGTGCCACTACATATACTGTAACTATTGTTCCATCGCATGATGCGCATGTGATAGGTTGACCGTGACCTTTATTCGAAAATATTATAAAGCTACTATTCAACTTCATGTGTAATTAAGAAACACTCGGTATACGTACTTGTTGTTTCTATCATCTAAAAATTCAAATTATAAAACGTTTATAGGGTCTTGCTGAGAATGAGAGTTTTCTAATAAACAATTCTATTTTAATTATTCTAGAAGATTCAAATGACATTCCGCATTGGTGGAAAATATCCCTACTGATGCAATGAAATGTAATGAAATAAATAAATAAAGGAATAAGTATATCGTTGCGTGTTATTATTATTGTTATTAAGAAGCCTTCACATATCATTCATATTATATATAAGAAAGGCGGTTTATATGGTATTAGCACCGAACTCGAAAGTCGCGACGTTGCGCGTACGCGAGGACGCGACTTTATGCGTCGGCTTGTCTAACTCGGCATACTTCTGATAAGCAGAAATAAGCTATTAGAAGCTTCGAGATACGTGAGCAATGATATTATACTGTATATGATGTAGATACAGTATATAGTGAAATAGGGAAGTATAAAAGGGATGTAGAAATGTATGTGAAATCCATGTAAATTAAAGAGAAGTTTGAACAAAGGAAACAAGTCTTATGAAGTACTACTCGACCAAGTATAAGCGTCTCGTTTTTCCTTTGTTACGTGCGTCTTTACGCAACCTTGTTACGCATAGTTATCAAGAGTTTAGCGACTGACTCGCCGCAAGACCAACAATAGCTTAGGTACGAAAAATAAGTTTAAGGGCTCTAACCTCATGTCACTTTATTACAAATGCCACGGCATGTAAGGTTAACTATGGGACAATTTTCAGGCAGAAAGAGACGCAGCGAACAGGCTCTAAATTGTTCGAATGTGCTATTGCTTGTCACCAACTACCTTAGCCCCTGCGTAATTTACTAAAATATCTACTAAAGAGTCAAGAAAGGCATGATGACTCGGTGTAGTGTAATATTTGATGATCCTCTTTTAGTTATTGCGATATTCTCTAATAATCTGACACATGAACCAGAAAAGAATCAATTTCCCATGTACTTTTTGCTTGTTTTTTTTTTTTTTTTTTTTTTTTTTTGAAAAAAAAAAATGGTAATGCAACATTTGGATCTCATACCATCATACTTCGCGAGTTTATATAGATCACATTACGATTATGATGGCACTTTTACTTGACTCTGATTGTTATTGTCTTAGGTTATGATTCGTCGGTTAATCAAGCTTCTTTCGAAAGAATTTATCGCGTTACTTTCGGGTTATTAACACTATACGTACTGTATAAGTAACCAAATACAGTACTCATGAGACACAAATAAACCTGTAAAAAAGACATTATTATGTTAAGTGCAGTTCGATATTGTATGTACCACATCAAATAGAAGAATATGTAGTGCTGTAATATTTTGGATCGATCTAATAAAGTGTCTTTAAAAACTCACTGGTAAAATCGTCTCCGCCGAGCTAATTTATTTGATTTTCGCGGCGGATTATGCGATTGCATCGATATGGCAACAGACTCGCCGATAACCCCTTACAAATAAAGTTCGGTTATTATTGTACCTTAATTAAAAGGATGGCGCACAAATCATCAAGCGTCAAATCTAGGATACCGTCGTGGGCTAACCGGCGAGTCCGTCACTAATTTCTAATGGCTCGCGCGTAACCCAAAATATATCACGGGGAGGTGCAATGCCTAACCCTGTGTAGGCACGCCCAGCACCACAATGATCAGATAGATAAAGTAAACAACTGTAAAGCTTGAGGCGCATATTTGGTCAAGTGAATAATACTAACTACTGTGCATCTTTCAACAATGGTCTTCTTTTGTTATTTGCGTACATGTCATATATACAGTACCTTTTTGATAAGCTATCTAAACTATTATTAACTTCTATAGTTTCCTCCCTTTAACATGGGTCCCACACCACTTACATAATGCACCGGTCTAATATACATAAGATTCTGAGTTTCTACATTACAAATCAGTACCAATGCGCACCGGGTCTTACCTTTGACTCTCGGATTATCATTTTTGATCGCGTTACGCGTACCGTTTCTATCACGTGACCCGTAACCATACACGCATTTTACTTAGTAATGGACCAGATGGATTACAATTTATGTAAAATAAAGTCGTTATGCATCTTGAAAAATTGAAAAATTATGTACAGTATATGTCAAATTCTCAAAAATTATTTAGGTGTAATAATTCTGCTGTTTAAGCGAGATTAAAATTGAAGACGCTTATACGTAACAAATTTGAGTATCTCGAATTGCAAATCACATCTGTTCTAGGCTGCACCAAAGAATCCCATTCATAAATGATGTTTTATGATGTTACATACAACTTTTGTTTTACATACATACCCTTCACTGAGTTTCTGTCCAAGCATGTTAGGTTCTTGGTATATTATATTTAAGGATCCACGAACTCCTTTAAAAGAAATAAATTATAACGGATAACGGTATTTCTTGGGCTGAGAAAAGTTCACGAAGACGATCACTTTATCAATTGATGGCGACCTAAAGTAATATGCCGAATGAATAACTAGAAGTAGGTAAAAACCTCCATCGTAAGTAACGTAAATTATTGGCCCACGAAACATGATTGTATAAAAATCTAGAAAAACCTAGAAACTAAATTTGCTCTTTTGGTCTGCTCATGGTTTAGCTATACGGAAGTCATAGTAAAGACTCGCCAAATCTTTTAACACTGTTACACTCCCTAAAATACAATACATCCCGGACTCGATGAAGATAATTTTACTTATACAGCGCTCGTGATCCCTTGATAATATGACAATCTCGTTATTAACGCATGCACGTTGTAGTGTTGCGGGCTAACTGCGAGTCTGCCGCTAACTCGACACTGCTTATGTAACCTGTGAATATGGATGAGTAACATTCAAAAACCAAATGCAAAAGGTGAAAACTATTTGAAGTGTTTAGAAAGACATTTTATTCGATTCTAAAATAATACTACAAATACCATGGATTTCATGTGCTTATATACAGTACAATATGACACTATCGTTAGATTAAACTTTTACTATCCTCTCGTGGCACATATATAGACGAAGCTACACATGAATTAGACAATTCCGTGGTTCACTCATGTTACGACATAGTCATATTACTGCATTTTTGTCCAACCCAATCATATTGATATTAAAGATTTAAAAACGAGAGTCGGCAAAAAAAAAAGGGTATCACAATGTATACATGTGTAATCATTATACGTACGTACGTAGTCCTCAAATAATAGTCACACAGTATATTATAGTAATCTTCTTTTTTCCGAACTATTTTCGTATCTTTGTGTTTAAAAAAATACGCGAGCTTTCTTCCTTATTATCCTTACCGAAACTACAATGTTAATGACGCGTAATTATTACAGCAAATAAGTAGTTTCAATTTGGTCGAACCATTTGTTTAATATGAATGGTTAACGTATACGCAAAGGAAACGCTTAATACATGGATCAAGCCTAGTCGATTATGGCTTCTTTTTTAGGATGCGCGCTCATTTTAAAGAATTTTTCGAGTAAAAAATTTTTTTTTTTTTTTTTTTTTTTTTTTTTTTTTTTTTTGCATATTATAATTCGCACTTTGACTTTGAAATTTAATGAATCATGAGAATAAGAGAATTCACAGTACAATTCTAAGATGAGTGTACTTCTTAGAGTAAATTGGCCGATCACTTAAACGCGCTACTTAAATTTCAAAGAATCGGATAAGGAATAGAAAATAAGAACGATTACGTAAAATATCAAATCAAGAATAAAGGTAAAATTATGTAAAAAGGTATAAAAATGAAATCAACATGCTGCACACACTATGCATTCACCCAACGTTTATGACTAAAAAGAAAAGTATAACGTATCCGTATGAATTGACTGCAAATCATTGAAGCAACCTTTTCTTCAGAACTCCCCATCTGTAATAACAAGACCTTGCATTGCGGTCTTTTAGTCCTTTTGCAATTTCTTCCCAGGGAGGGGTCGGCATTTCATAAATGATTTGGCGTAGCAGATATCTATCTTCTTCCGGGGTCCAGAACTTTCTCTTGATCCGATTCATCTGATCAATATCTTCCTCCTCTTCCTCCTCTTCCTCATCAATCTCTTCCTCATTATTCGCGGACCTGATCGACTTCGTTTGTTTGCGACTTCTCCCTTTCATAGTCATTTTAGAAGATGCTGCGGTGGATTTCTTATTTTTCGCTGAGGAAGCTTTCGCGCGAGTTGACATAGTTCTCTTCATAGCATTGCGAGCCTGAGGTATCTCATCAAGAGATTTCTTGGACATTTGCTTGGCCTTTTCTGCTTGTCTTGTACTACGCCGTTTCTTTTGTGGACGCTCCTCAGGATCGACCATTTCTTCCTCTTCCTCTTCCTCTTCATCATGGGATTTTTGTTTCATTTTTGGCGATTGTTTTTCACCGCGTCGTCTTTTGGTGGATAAAGATGTGGACGAAGTTTGTTGTTCATGAAGGGTTTCTCCAGACTCGTATCCTTGATTTTCATTATCATCGATTTCCATCTCGGCATGTGGTCGTTGCATTTCAGAGCTCATGATTTGTGATGATGAGGATTGTGCCGTTGGATACTTTATCATAAATTGTCGTCGCGTCAACGAGGTGTAAAACAGGTGAGTTGGGTTAATTTATAAAAAAAAAAGAATAAAGACAAATAATTTCATTAGTCCTTGGCCCTATGCAATTTCATGCGTAATTTATTTTAAGAAAATCCCCTTACATCGTCAACTTTGCGACTTTCGTTGTCAATCGCAAAATACACCCCCGCATTTTCTTCTGTTTTTACAGTAGACTGTGATTCTTCAGGTTCCATTTGATTCTCAATATTCTAGCTAAAGAAGATAGGAAGTTGATGTCAAGGGTATCGCTAGATTTTTTTTTTTTTTTTTTTTTTTTTTTTTTTTTTTTGCTAATCCAGGTTTACGATTTATATTTATGACACCAAAATACCACGGGAGTAAGGTCAAATTCCTTAATTTCGCCCGCATTTTTTTATGAGATCATCTTAGGATCACATTCATAGAGCAACATCAAGATAAAAATCAAATTAATCGTACTCTTAAAACTTGTTACTAAGCGTTCGTATTAATCAGGTCTATTTTTTCATTGAACACAATAACGTTACCTGCAATCCAGTATACAATCTCTAATTATTTCATTTATGACGCAGGACATACAATTGGCTACGCATGACAATTATCGTATCACGTGGCAATAGGAATACGATCAAATGCTTCTTTCTGAACGCGATTCTTTTGCTTAATTATTGGTGCAAAAAATTTTTTTTATTTTATTAGTCCTTAATCTCAAGAACCTTGTGCCAAATCAAAACAAAGAGAATTTTTAAATCAAATCAAGAAGAGTCCCTTCTTTCGACTCACTGGAACTGCGCGCGAGGACGGCGAATCGTATACATAATCTTTATGAACACTGCGCAGAACTATGTATCCCTTGCAATATGTACTAATAATATAAAAGTATTAATATATTAACGGTGAATGTAGCTAACTGCGGAAGTATATAGTGAGAATAATCCAAAACGCCTCTGCGCAGGCCTTTACCAAGCTCCTATCAGTAATATGTATTAACTACTATATATGAGTCGTGGAGCCTGAACTTGTCACCGCAGCCTTTTAATGTATCGCCAATATACTGTAGATTTGTCGAGGCCTACCCGCAAGTCATTTCGCTGTGACTATTTCTAGTAACTCACCTATTGCCCGGTTTTTCATGCTTTGTAAACCAAGTGATTAATTATAGTGTTGGCGACACCACTAATATAATCAAATATTGAAATCAGCATTAAAAACATAATATAATTATCATCAAAAATCAAAGATTCCGGTAAATAAAATACAAAAATTTGTTTATAAAAAGAAAAAAAGAATTTTTTGTTTACAAAGGTATCATTTACAATAAAATAGTTTTATAAAATTTTAGCGAAGATACTAAAACCATAGCTATAATAATAATTTTTTTTTTTTTTTCATTTACTAGATGGCGATTTCAACGATTAAATATTATTCTAAATAAAAATAAATTATAAGATAGATACTGTATATTGTATCTAGTTAATTACTGTGCATACAATGACCCTCGTAAACGCTTCACTTGATTGAAAATTTTTAAACCCAGTTTTTTCTTTATTTAAATATTATACAGAAACTTTATTTAATTAGAAGAGATAAATTGGTAAAAGAAATTTGAGCCAATTCTTTTATGGAATTCATTATGCTAACTATTTTTTTATTTTTTTTTTTGTTTTTTATCAATAAATTTCCTTTGATTAATAATAACTGTACAAATCTATGAAAAAAGATATATAAAGTAATCTAAAAACCTTATATTAAATATTTTTACCATCTAGTAAATTCTTCTATACTTTAGTAATATCACAACCTCTTTCTGATTTTATTAATTAACTTATTACATAAATTAACTTTGATGCCTATCCATATAATATAGCTTTTAAATTTTCTCATATATTTATATTAGATGGAGAACTACAAAGATATCACTAATATTATCAAGCTTATTTCATAATCATTTAATTGAATTCTAATAATAAAAGAGATTTATTGAGTTATTGCAAAACAAGTTTTGATTACTTATAATAATATTTAGAATTATTAATCCTATTAATAATTTATATCAAAACTTAATTAATAGAAAATAGTTAAATAATATTTATTCAAAATTTAGCAATAAATTTATTTTTTTTTTTTTATAATTAAATAAAGATTTTCTATATCACAAGAAATTAAGTATTTTAAATTATTATATTATTATCTTCAAATTTAACAGCTAAAATAATATGTTAGATTTAATAAATATATAGTTACTTTATGTTTTTATTATAAATTTCAACTTTAACAATTTTTAAATCTTTAATCATTTAATTCAAAATTATGAAATTTATATATTGTATATTCTATTTTAATATTTATTTTATTCCTTATATTTTTAAAAAATTTTTTTTTCATAAATAATTTTTAAAGGTTTATTATTATTAAACATTTTTATTTTTTTGTTGATTATTATATAATTTATAATAACAATCAATTACAATTATTCAAAAATAAAAATTTATAAAGAAATCAAATTTAACAATAATAAAACTTTAAAAATTATATATAAAATTTTTTTAAAAAATATAATAAATAAAACTAATATTAAAATATAATATAATATACATGAATTTTATAATTTTTGATTATATAATTAAGGATTTTAAAAATTGATATTATTAAAATTTATAATAAAAATATAGCAAGTGAACTCAAACTTTTTCAAGTAACTATACATTTTTGAATTTTTCAATAATATTTTTTTTTTACTAAATTTGAATAACAAAAATTTATTTTTATTATATTTTTTAATTTATTTATAATTTAATTAATATATTTTTATTAAAATTAATTATTTTTAAATGCTAACTCATTCTCATATCAGGATTTTATTAAAGTAAGGAGGTACCTAGAACAATTAGATCTGATATCAAATCTTTCCACTGATTCTCTAACCACATACAAAAAAAACGTTCACAAGAAGTTTTTATATTTCTAAGCTAACAAAGTCTTATTACTCTTCTTAAGTTAACTTGAAGAAACTTCAAGAGCTACCAACTACCTTCTCTCTCTTGTCTATTATCTTCTTCAAACAAAAACCTGATCTCTAGTAATCATAAAGATCAAGAAACACCTTTTCTATTAATGGTAAGAAAGTTCTAAAAGGAAGAAGTACTAATGTACTATCATCTCACACTATAGAGAAACACTACAGAAGTAAGTGTATAATGAGAAACTACTTTTCTACTCTCTTGTCATATTTCTCCTTTTCATAGTGCCTGTTCTTGATTTTTCTGGAGAATTTTGCCTACCTCAGTTTGACCCTGAATTTTGAGTAGCACAAAGTTTCTTATATCATGATTGAATAGAAAGAACTCATATTTGTAAAAGAAGTAAACAAGCTTCTATTGGTCACCCCACATGTTTGAATACATTTCCTCAATTCCATAAGAACTTGATGTTCACCATAAGTCATTATGCTTAGTGTGCGTTGATACAGAACATGAAATCTCCTATATTAGTAGTAATCAGAAAAGAACAAGTTGTAATAGAATATATTGGATATCCAACAACTCTCTTATCTTCTATTCATCAAATAGAAACCAACAACTTGGGTATTATATTTTTGAAGAGTTTTGATATACTCATCTCTTCACTGTAAACTGACTATAACAATACCAATTACTAATGTTCATCGAACAAGATTCGTACACACCTCTTCCCCTTAAAAATTTTTTCTTTTAGCATTAGTGGAGTTAAGGTCCTATATAAGGGATCCCAACATCAGTAGTGTTGTGTACCTTAGGTAAATCTTTGGCACATTAGCTCCCCTTCTTAGGGAATAGTGATAAGCCATTTGATGGGCCTTGGCTCAATAGGTTCAATATCTAGAGAGTATTGTGATATATTTAGTTCTAGAAATTTAAATTTTGATGTCTAGTTAGTTTGTTGTAATAAAAAGAAATACCTAGATTAGATGATCATATAGTTACTTTATCCTGATAGGGTAAGACGTAAATTTTAACTCTATGTACTATTCAGTAATTTGTAAATCCTTAAATAGTATAAGTAATTATTCATCCCGTTGTTCTTAGATATGATCTTTATTTTAATAAAATGATTCCATGACGTATAAATGAGCTAGCATTTAAAAAAAAAAAAAGGAGATATCCAAAAACAACCAAGATAAATAATTCTAAGAATTTATAGATTAACCAAATAGTATAAAGGTTAAACTATTTATATTTCATTTAACTAAGATAAATAATTAAAATTATTTAGTATAAATAATCTATTTACAAAAATAAAAAAAGAAATAATATAAAATTTATTATAAATATACTTTATTATTTATTTTCTTATACTGATACTTTTTAAAATCATAATAAATACAATTTATCAAGTGACTTATTGCTATTTCTATATAAAGAAACTAATGTATCAAGAATTCGCCTATAATATCTAATATTATTCAATATTGAGAGTCTCTTATATAGAGCTTTAACTATATTAACACTTAATTAAAAATTTTAAATTCATAGTTATATCAAATTATTTAAACCAATATGAATATTATTTAATAAAATAATAAATATATTTTCAAGGTATAGATGATAAATATTCAAAAATTCTTCTAAAGAATTACTAGTCAAAAAATATTTATTTGATATAATATCACTTATATAACATTTATCAAAAAAAATAAATAATTTGATATATTAATAAATTATTGATCAATTTTCACTATATAATTCAATATAAATAAATCATAAATTAATTTTTTTTTAACTTACAATTATATCACAATGGCATGTCTTTATTGAAAAATTGAAATAAATGTATATTATTTTACAGATTTTCACAAAGTAACTA